TTAAAATCCATTTGGAGAACAGCTAAATATTTTCAGTACCTATCAAAATAAAATAAATGCTAAGTCTATCAAAGAATGTACTGGCAAGAAAATAAATGCATTAACACAATAATCATAGAAGGATTTGTAGGGAATATGAGATTCCATTATATTCCTACATCACTGCTCTAATCTTGATCAAAAGCCTAAATGCACTAGGCTTAATCTGTAAGATGGAGGACACAACACTTTAAAACAGCTCTCTGCCTAATCTCATGTAGAGGTCAAGCTTGTGAAAATAACTTTTTTTTTTTTGGTACCTGGGATTGAACTTGGGACATTGCACCTATGAGGCAGGCAGCAGAATCACTGAGCTAAATCCCCGGCCTGAAAAAAAAACATTTTTTAATCTCATTACAACAAAAGGGATGGGACTCTAGAGGTAGGAATGATTAACACCGCCAGGGAGATTCAGAGAGTCTTCCCAGGACAAGTGACATTTGAATGGTTTTCTCAAGTCAGATGTTTAGCGTGGAGAAAAGGGCAAAACAGGCATTGCAAGTAGGAAAAATATGTGGAAAGTAGAAGGACCAGGAAAGGGCATGATCTACTTGGGAAACAGTGGGACGTTTCTCATATAAGGGAGATTAGCAGCATGAAATGAGATTGGATACATGAGACCCTGAACTTACGCTAGAGCACTTGCAGCTGGAGAAGGGAGTTACAGTCATCTAGCGAGCAAGTCATTCTTCAGACTCTCGATGGCTCGCTGTAAATATACTATTCAGGCACACTCACCACCTGTATTATTTTGGCAAATCAATTACCTCTCTGAGCTATAGTTTTCTCATTATAAACAAGATAATTTCAATACCACTTATCTCTCAGGGTAGCATAGCTATGAGGATATATGAGACTGTAATTGAAAAATCCAATAATGATTAGAACTTATTGGAATTACCTAGCATATAAGCAAAGGCAATCCAAAAGACATCTATAATGAAGGAATATGACATGATAGATTTTATATAGAAAGGCTTATATTAGGTGAATTATGGAAGTGAGAGGCTAGAGGGTTTTGCAAAAATCTAAATGAATGATAGAGTAAAATGAAGGAAACATGTTCACTTAGGATTCTAGTATCTAGAAAATATAGATTATACAACCAAGAATGAGTCATCAAATGAATTGAAGCAAGGACTTGAAAAATGTACAAGAGTCTGATAGGAAGTAAAGTTGAAGAAGGAAAACTTAGGCAGAGAGAGTACCATATACAAAGCCCTAACAGTGTAAGGGATCAGGATGTGTTTGGAAAGTAAAGGGTACTATTATACGTCTTGAGAGCAGATAGAGACGTGATAGAAGCTGAGCCAGAAGTATCTTGCTATCAGTTTGTGAAGAGCATCGAACTTCATACTGGGATATAGCTGTTCACTATTTTTTTTACCTTATTAATGACTTCATATATCCTGAATTAGGAATCTAGCATCTGACCATAGTGTGGTGAAAGAACTGAACATGTAAGAGGCTTGTGACTAAGAGACAGTAGGAGGTGACATATTCACCCTACGGGAAAGACCCAAGCCAATAACAAAGGGAATTTAAAATCAAGCATAAAGAATACAGACACATGGAAACCTGGAAGAGACTTATTTGAGTGTAACAATGAGAAGAGCCAAAAATCTAGAGTCATGATACTTCACTGACATCTATAAATAACTTAAATAAGAAATACAAGATAGGGGATATAGCCAGTTTTGCTCTGAAAATCTTGTATTCAAAACTTAGAGGAATTCTGCCATTGGAATGTACTAGAGGAATGGCCTAGTATCTCTTTTCTTTTTTTTTTGTTTTGGTACCAGAGATAGAACTCGGGTCCTTGTGCTTGCGCAGCAGGCAGCGAAACCACTGAGCTAAATCCCTGGCCCCTTAGCGTCTCTTTTCTTAAGATCTGAATATAGAGTCACAGAAGGTAATTGGTAGCTGAAGCAACAGAAAAGGAAGAGATTTTCCTTTAGAGGTAAATAGAATGGGAGACCCTCAGAGGAAAAAGTCTATGTGGCACTCAAAGATAAGCCACATGAGTCTTGATTGAAGACTGAATAGATTTGTTGCCACTCTTAGGGTCTTTGTATTACCTGTTCCCTTTACCTGCAATGTTCTCTCCCCTGATCTTTATGAGTTGCTTGCATCTTGTCATCCCATTCTGCATTTGAGTGTTTCACCTCCTCACAGAGGGTTTTCCTGACTGTATAAACAATTGTCATGCTCTCCCACACCACAGGAATCCTATATGTCTGGTTCCACATCGAGTTTCCCATGTAATGAATTGTCTGGCACATTATGAACATTTAGTCAGTGTATGCTGAATTAACTCATGATCATTGAGACTCACTTAACCACTTTGTCTCTTATTTTCATCTCTTGTAAAATGTGAGTGATAATTCCCACCACATAAGCTTGTAAGGATTATATAAAAGAGCAATGTCTAACCCCAGAAACTTTTCTAGCTCATTCTCAATTTAAATAATTACTGCTTCCCTGGAATGATTGTTTTTACAGTCTTTTCTTTGTTTTTCAGTTTTTTGTTTCTATTAGTACATGTCTGTAGTACATAATGCTTACATTTCTATGTAGAGTTGGTATGTGTATATAAAACATCTTAATTCTCTTTTCCATATCCTTTCTCTTCCTCCATCCCTAATCCCTCCACTTCTTGATCCCCTTGATCTATCATCCTGCTTCCTACTATTTATTTTTTATTTTACTCTTTATCATAATTTAGGTTTCTCACATAAGAGAAATCATGTGAGATTTAAGCTTGTGTGTCTGATTTACTCCACTTAACATTATGGTCTCCAGGGGTGTCTATTTTCTTACAAATGACTCAAATTTATCTTTCTTTATGGCAGAGGAGTGTACCATTATGTGTAAAACCACATTTTCTTTATCCACTCATCTGTTGGTGGACATATAGGCTGCTTCCAAGATACAGCAATTATGGATTATGCTGGTCTTACATGGATAAGCATGTATCACTGTAATATGATGTCTTTAACTCTTTCAGGATGGTACCTAGAAGAGGAATAGCTGGGTCAGTGGAAATTCTCATTTTAGTTTTTTGATTTTTTTATTTCCATATTGGTTGTACTAGTTTACATTCCCACCAACAATGCAGAAGCATTCTTTTTTTCCCAGCATCCTCATCAGCATTTGTTATTTTTTGATTTTTTGATGATGGCTATGTTTTCTAGAGTAAGTTGGAATCTCACTGCTGTTTTAATTCACATTTCTGTAATGGCCAGTGATTGTGAACATTTCTTCAAGTATTTATTGGCCATTTGTACTTCTTCTGAGAAATGTCTATTCATTTCAGTTACCCATTTTTTTATTGGATCTTTTATTTTGGAGGTCTAATTTTTTTGAGTTCTTTATATATGCTAGATATCTGCTCTCTGTCTGAAAATAGCTGGCAAAAATTTTTTTCCATTCTGCAAGTTGTCTTTTTACCTTGTTTGCTGTTTCTTTTTGGGCTTTTTGTTTGTTTGGTTGGTTGGTTGGTTTTGGTACCGGGGATCAAACTAGGCACCTTGCGCTTGCGAGGCAGGCAGCAGAACCACTGAGCCAAATCCCCAGCCCTGTTCGTTGTTCATTTTACTGTGAAGAAGCTTTTTAATTAGATAAAATCCTATTTGTTGATTCTTGGTACCATTTCCTATGCTACCTGGGTTCTGTTCAGAAAGTCCTTGCCTATGCCTATGACTTCAAGAGTTTTACCTATCTTATCTTCCAGCAGGTTAAGTGTTTTTTTGTTTTAAAGTTATTTGATCCATTTCTATTTTAGTTTACTCCATGGTGAGAGATATGGGTCTAGGTTCAATTTTCTGCACGTGAATAGTCAGTTTTTCCAGTACCATTCATTAAAGATACTATCTTTCCTCCATGTGTGTTTTAGGCCCCTTTGTCAAAGATCAAATAGTAAATGTGCCTGCTCTATTCTGTTCCATTGATCCTTATGCCTGTTTCAATGCCAGTATGCCTTTTATATTCTGTATCCCAAACTGCAATTGCAATGAGAAAACAGCAATTCTTCAAATAATGATAGTTTTGTCTTTCCTCTTTTTTTTCTTTAACTTTTGTGAATCATACAGAGAATGATTTCCATCCAGCTTCTTCTTTTCCCTCTCTCCCCCACTTCTTCTGTTTCCACCCTTGCTTTCTTCTTATTTTTTCTTTACCTTTAACAGTGACTGAAGGTAAAATCAAAATTCGACGGAGAGTCTTCATATCACTCTTTCCCCATATTTCTCATATGGATTGACTGTTTAACAAACAAATTAAGTAGAAATATGACTTGGTAAAATGATTTGAAGTATTTAATTTTATTATTTCCAGGTTGTACTGCAAAACAAACTACCTAATAAGTATACCAGCTAGAAAATATTCTGGAGATTCTGCTAAAAGAAACACAAGAGTTGATAAGTATATCATGACCAAAATATATCATTTTGTCATGAGACAGTACCTTCAAATTCATTTGACTGCAAGCTAATCCATATTTTAGTAGGCAGTTTGAAACAATTTCAATGAGAGGCTCTTGGGAACTTTAAAAGTATTAATATGAAACTAGATTATTACAAACTACTTATGTAGTATATCACAGCCACTAAATATTATCATGGATCTCTAGCCAGTAGAAAGTGCATGTTAAATCTATTTATCTGATTGAGTTATTTTCTCAATTATCTCCACGAAGTTACTGCATGGTAAGGAGCTCTGATGTAAATGGGATTGTATAGAGGAAAACATCAAAGTACTTTCAGAAACTTTCACTGATTCCTCCAAAATATTTAAATGTTATATTAATCTGAAATAACTTCAATGACTGAATTATTTTATTCATTTAATCTTGAGTGCCAGTGTACCATTAGATTACAAAACATATTTGAAAAATATGGCCTCACAAAATCCACTGGATGAGAACCAAATACTGTTGTTCATGTTTTCCCTTTTCTATGCAGATCCTGATTGGAGAAAAAGCAAGATGAAGAACAGTTTTTTAGGACAATCTGGGAAGATATTTGGGCCCACTCTCTGGTACAATGATCCTCATAATAGAATAATTCTCCACCTCACTCAGACTCTTATAGCCAGGTGCATTTGACTCTCTTTTTTCAGGACCCTTCATTAGGAGTTATCTTACACTTGTACAGGTGCCCTTGATTAAACTCCAGGTGACATCAGTGCTGAAGAAGTGAGCCTTGGTGTCAAGCACATATACACCTGGGAGTCAAATACTGCCACCAGAAGGATGGAAAACCACACCACAGAGCGTGCATTCCTTCTATGGGGATTTTCCAGTTTCCCAGAACTACAGAACCTACTCTTTGTGGTGATTTTCTCTTCCCATGTGACAATCCTACTTGCAAATGTGTCCATAATGGTAGCCATCAAGCTCAATCACAACCTGCACACCCCAATGTATTTTTTCCTCTTTGGCCTCTCCCTTTCTGAAACCTGTACCACTATGGTTATCATTCCCCGCATGTTAGTGGACTTGCTGTCAGATAGCAAGACTATTTCTCTTCCTGAGTGTGCCACGCAGATGTTTTTCTTCTTTGGTTTGGGAGGAAATAACTGCTTCATTTTAGCCGCCATGTCCTATGACCGATACATTGCCATCCACAACCCACTGCATTATCCCATGCTGATGACCAAAAAGATCTGCTTTCAGCTTATAATGGCTTCTTGTATAGTTGGGTTCCTGGTTTCACTATCCATTGTCATCATTATATTCACCTTCTCTTTTTGTGACTCTTACACTGTCCAGCATTTCTTCTGTGACATCTTGCCTGTGGCCAACCTTGCTTGTGATTATACATCCTTCCATGAAATGGCTATTTTTATGCTCTGTGCCTTTGTGTTAGTGGGCAGCTTTATTTTAATTGTAATTTCATATGTCTTCATTTTGTCTTTAGTTGTGAAGATGCCTTCTGCAAAGGGGAGGTATAAGGCCTTCTCCACCTGCTCCTCCCACCTCACTGTGGTGTGTATACACTATGGATTCGCTTGTTATATCTATTTGAGACCCAAGAGCAGTGACTCCTTCCGTGAAGACATGCTGATGGCTGTGACATACACAGTGCTGACCCCTCTGCTTAACCCCATTGTTTACAGCCTACGGAACAAAGAGATGCAAGTGGCCCTATGGAAAGTACTAGAGAATGGCCATAGGTTTATTTCTAGGTGGTAAATAAAATAGCCCTGGATATTTTTTAAAATTGAACAGCTTAATAAGAAAGTGAAATACATCTAATAAAAATAATAACTTTTACACAAATAAATTGAAGTACTATATTATCTAATCTGATATATCCTTGCTTTACTATGTTTCTACAAACAGGATATAATTTTTAAATATTTTCACATGTTATGAGATATACACACATGTGCGTGTAAGAAACACTACAAACATGTTTTGAACACAGTATTTTCATAATAGCAGTTGACTGTAGAGAAAGAAGAAAATCATAATATTGTCTAACATTTGAACAGCAGTACACTGATTGGGGATTTCGGTTAGAGTGGATTTCTTCTTAGCCAGACTGTTTACTGACCTCTGAGCTACAGTAATCTTTAGAGGACTAGTACACTGAAGTCCCCCAATCAGAGAGAAACCTTTATAGGAATCAGTTGTAAGCAGAATTTTGACTGAACTCCAACATTATGGGCCCCAAGGCCCCCAAATTTATAATTTAGATGAAATTGGTCAACAACTGTAAAAAGCATTCCATATTGGCTCCTGTATCCTTAGAATAGGGATATTTCATGGAAAAGTCCCAGTGGAGGATCCTGGAACTAGTCACCCCAGCCAACATAGGAAATCAGAGGAATATTTCTATCTTCAAGGAAATAAAAATTGAGTCCATCAAAGATGCAGCGCAAGATTCTAGCAGCATATGTGGAGCACTGAGATCAAGTTCCTGGGACAGCAAGGTTGATGTCATAACCCTTGCATCCAGCATATAGCAGGGATAGCACTCAGTCTACAGCCCCTGGTTTTCAGCAGCAGCTGCACCAGCGCCCTCACTTGGCCAGCCCTTCACAGGGACTTGAGCCTGATTTTCCAGTTTTCCTGATGACTGATGATCTAAAAATATCCAGACTCTGTTTCTGTGGCTTACTGACTGGCTTGCACACACTCTTAGTAATGTTTGTATAAGTTAGTATTGCATGCAAAATAGCAATATATTGTTCACTGGAGTAAATCATATGGATGAGAGTTTTTAGTTTTATTGTTCCTTCATCATTTATACAGTACCATTACAAAAGGAGTTAGATCTTTAAATATGATCTTATAAGTAAATGTGCTGTAGATAACATCATTTTAAAAGCACCTTAACATTGATAGGAGACAGAAAAGCATAAAGAAAATATGAGCTCTGGGCTCAGCATACCTGTTTCAGATCCCACTTCAGCCATTCATTTATTTACTTTGTGTCCTTGGTCAAGTTGCATAACATTAAATATTCAAATTCCTTGTCTATATAGTGAAGATAATAGAAATCTTGATGATGAAACTAAGTAATATATGTAAAGAGTTTAGAATAGTAACTAGCATAAGTGCTCACTACACATTAGATACTAAGAAGACAGTAACACATATAAATATTTTTAATATTCTAATTAATTTAATATTTTCAACAAATCTTTGAAAAGTATAGTTGTTGTCTCCATTTGACAGTGGAGGAAATAGAACCACAGAGAGGTAAAGTAACTTGCCTAAGATGATAAGTAGGTGAGCTTGGATTCCAATCCCTTTGATGTGATTTCAGAGTTACCACTTTAATCACAAAACTAGAACTAATTTACTACTACTACCTATTACTGTTACTCTTATTATCATTATTATCCAGTTCTAATAGCATGCAGGCTCTGATCTGAAACAGTGCATGACTTATTGCAAGCATAAGTCAACACATTTTCAAGGTCATTAGGACAATTGCTTCCCATCTATCTGAAAGTTGTTTACCTGAAACTAGACTTTGGGTTTAGATTGCTTGGCTTAGAGTAGATGCTTTAATGATTCCTCAGGGAACAGAGAAAAATTGGCTCATAGTCAGTTTTAGAGACAATATTGAGTTTGAAGATCAGATGAGGGATTCACATCTACAAATTTTAGAGATGAAGACCAGGTACAGAATAGAAGACCAAGCCCCCGAGGACTCATTGGTGAGACACTATTTCTGCCCATCCCTTCAGTCAAGCCAATACACCTGTAATTCATGTCATATCCCCAGATAATTGACCATCAGAGAGACAAGGATGTCATTAATCTTAACCTTATATATACAGTCACCCTTTGGTATCCATGGGGAATTGGTTCCATGATCTCCCATGGATACCAAAATCCATGGATACTCAAGTGCCTTATATAAAATTGTGTATTTTCATATAACCTACCCACACTTTAAATCATGATACTTTAAATCATCATAAGATTATTTATAATAGCTAATTGAAAGTAAATGTTATGCAAATAACTGTTTAGGAAATATTGTTTAGGGAATAATGATCTGGAAAAGTCTGTACATGTTCAATACAAATATAATTTTTTTCAAATAGTTTCAACTTGATTACTCCACAGGTGCAGAACCATAAACACAGAGGACCAACTATATTATAGAGAAGACATTAACTATGCATTAAAAATTGCCTTGTTGAAGGAACTCCTAACCAAAAAGATATCAGAATCTATTGCTATCTTGTTTTATAGCAAAATACTTGAGCTTTAAACCAAATACAAGGAATATAGTAATGAGGGCACCCAGCAACTCAGTCTTGCCAAAGAATCAACAAATCCTTATGGATCCTCATTGTGGTAGAACAAAGTAGCCCTCATTGAGCTCTGGCACTTTTAATGGTCACCACCCTGAGGAATTAACATCACCAAGATTCTGTAATCTGGGAAATGCTCTTAATCAAAGAGTATCCCCAGTTGAATGTGTGAACCCTATGTGTATCCTCCTCGACTATACCTCCTTCTTAAAAACTAGAAGTAAATCTCATGACTCAAAGGATTCTTCAAAACAATTTCCTCTTCTTTAGAATCTCACTGGTAACTATCTGACACTCCTGAATTAAGAATTATTCTTTTCTAGTTTTGCTGAGCAAGAAGATGAAGTGTAGTATTGGCTCAGAAGTGCCTCACTGGGGCACACGTTGTCAGTTTCTCCCATCTTTTTCCCTGTTCTGGTACTCACCCACACAAGACTCAGTGTCATCTAGCAGATATTCAGTTCCTATAATTGTATCATTAGGGGATAAGAGTTCCATAGAAAAGTCAGTTCTTTCTGAAAAGTACATCGATTATCATCTGAACCTGGAACAGACAGTGAAATGATAGAGGTAAAATGTGACGTAGGTGGCAGTAGTTCAGCTGATTCTCTGCCTCTGTCTTTTACTCCCACTCCCTTAGTCACAACTCAAGATAAGTGTACAGTCATAGGGACTCCAGGAAAAAAGGTCCCCTTGCTTGTGAAAATAACCTGGTTGGATGCTGGGCGTGGTGGCACTTGCCTGTAATCCAAGCACTTGGGAGTCTGAGGCAGGAGGCTTTCTGTCAGTTCGAGGCCAGCTTGGGCTACATAGTGAGCAGCCTAAACTACATAGTGAGACCCTGCCTCAAAACAAATAATAATAAAATAACCTGTCTGGGATCAAATATACCATTTGAAAAATCATAGACTTCTTCAGTTAGCAAATCAAATTTACCTTTCACTCTCCAACATGCTTAGCCTAGAAATGTTCCACTCTTACCAGAATGGAAAATAACAGATCTACCCATTACAAGTTACACAAAATGGCAAAATTTACTAGAAAAGGTCACTACATCTACACTTTAGGTCTGACCCAAACATACTTCTCTTCCAGTTTCCCCCTCTTCAGAGTGAATTAACAAATTTGGGAAATTCTAAGAGATAATTTGAAAAAGCTCTGCCCTGCCCTGAATGCCAAGTTGAGGACTATATGTGTTGTATTTTAAGGGCCTAGAGAACTATGTTCTAATCCTTTTTTCCCTAGGCCACTAGGAAAGACCGGATGCATTGAGAAATTGACTCTAAGCACACTGACAAGCATTG